ATCACTGTTACTGTACCACTGTCACTGTATCACTGTTACTATATCACTGTTACTGTACCACTGTCACTGTATCACTGTTACTATATCACTGTTACTATATCACTGTTGCTGTACCACTGTCACTGTATCACTGTCACTGTACCACTGTTACTGTATCACTGTTACTGTACCAGTGTTACTATACCACTGTTACTGTACCACTATTACTATATCACTGTTACTATATCACTGTTACTGTACCAGTGTTACTATACCACTGTAACTGTACCACTTTCACTATATCACTGTTACTGTACCACAGTTACTGTATCACTGTTACTATAACACTGTTACTATACCACTGTTACTGTACCACTATTACTATACCGCTGTTACTATACCACTGTTACTATACCGCTGTTACTATACCACTGTTACTACACCACTGTTACTATACCACTGTTACTGTACCACTGTTACTATACTACTGTTACTGTACCACTGTTACTATACCACTGTTACTGTACCACTGTTACTATACCACTGTTACCGTACCACTGTTACTATACCACTGTTACTACACCACTGTTACTATACCACTGTTACTGTACCACTGTTACTATACCACTGTTACTGTACCACTGTTACTGTACCACTGTTACTATACCACTGTTACTGTACCACCGTTACTATATCACTGTTACTGTACCATTGTTACTATGCTAATATTACTATACCAATGTTACTATATCACTGTTACTGTACCATTGTTACTGTATCACTGTTACTATACCACTGTTACTACACCACTGTTACTATACCACTGTTACTGTACCACTGTTACTATACTACTGTTACTGTACCACTGTTACTATACCACTGTTACTGTACCACTGTTACTATACCACTGTTACCGTACCACTGTTACTATACCACTGTTACTACACCACTGTTACTATACCACTGTTACTGTACCACTGTTACTATACCACTGTTACTGTACCACTGTTACTATACCACTGTTACTATACCAATGTTACTATATCACTGTTACTGTACCATTGTTACTGTATCACTGTTACTATACCACTGTTACTATACCAATATTACTATATCACGGTTACTGTACCACTGTTACTGTATCACTGTTACTATATCACTGTTACTATACCACTGTTACTATACCATTGTTACTATATCACTATCACTATGTCACTGTTACTGTTACTGATTGTGATGGCCATCATAAATGTATCTCCGAAACATATTTGATAATTGTTCCACATCTACTTCACTAATCTTTATGCCTTCTTTCGTGTATGTATAATTCTATATGCAATAAATTTTCTCCTAGAATCACAAGATAATATTTTTATCGTAATATATATTTCGTCCACTGAAGAGCTGCCACACAACAAGATCCGTTGATATTCCTGATCAGTCTTCTAACATTCCAAACTCCCATTCCTTTTCCTTGCAAGCATATCTATTAGGTGTTTACCATTGTAACCATTAAATCATATACTGATATAGTTTTCCTGTACAGATAATTACCAAAACGTTAGCAAGCTGTTATAGCATGCTAATATTGGCAGAATATAGGCCGCACATGTGTATTGCCTTCACGTGTTACGTAACACTAGTACACCAGTAATCACCTATTTGGACACATGTACACTCAGGTACCCCTGGTATCTGTGGCGTTCTGACTGACCAACGACTACAAGTATATACAGTTAATATGTAGAACAGAAGAATTCAAGTATCTATCTAAAGCGGGATACAAATACTACAGGGGGATACAAATACTACAGGGGGGATACAAATATTACAAGGGGGATACCAATACTACAGGGGGGATACAAATACTACAGGGGGGATACAAATATTACAGGGGGGATACAAATACTACAGGGGGGATACAAATATTACAGGGGGGATACAAATATTACAGGGGGGATACAAATACTACAGGGGGGACACAAATATTACAGGGGGGACACAAATACTACAGGGGGGATACAAATATTACAGGGGGGATACAAATATTACAGGGGGGATACAAATACTATAGGGGGATATAAATACTATAAGGGCGGTTACAAAATACTATAGGGGGATACAAATACTAAAGGGGGGTACAAATACTATAGGGGGATACAAATACTATAGGGGGCGGTTACAAAATACTATAGGAGATACAAATACTATAGGGGGTTACAAATACTACAGGGGGATACCAATACTATAGGGGGATACAAATACTATAGGGGGATACAAATACTATAGGGGGGATACAAATACTACAGGGGGATACCAATACTATAGGGGGATACAAATACTATAGGGGGATACAAATACTAAAGGGGGTACAAATACTATAGGGGGCGGTTACAAAATACTATAGGGGATACAAATACTATAGGGGGTTACAAATACTACAGGGGGATACCAATACTATAAGGGGATACAAATACTATAGGGGGATACAAATACTATAGGGGGGATTCAAATACTATAGGGGATACAAATGCTACAGGGGGATACAAATACTATAGGGAGATTCAAATGCTATAGGGGGATACAAATACTATAGGGGGATACAAATACTAAGGGGGATACAAATAATATAGGGGGATACAAATACTACGGGGGATACAAATGCTATAGGGGGGGGTTTACAAATACTAAGGGGGTTACAAATACTATAGGGGGATACAAATATTATAGGGGGGATACAAATACTATAGGGGATACAAATGCCATAGGGGATACAGATACTATAGGGGGGATACAAATACTAAGGGGGATACAAATACTATAGGGGGATACAAATACTATAGGGGGATACAAATACAATAGGGGGATACAAATACTATAGGGGGATACAAATACTATAGGGGGGATACAAATACTATAGGGGGGATACAAATACAAATACTATAGGGGGGATACAAATACTATAGGGGGATACAAATACTATAGGGGGGATACAAATACTATAGGGGGATACAAATACTATAGGGGGGATACAAATACTATAGGGGGGATACAAATACTATAGGGAGGATACAAATACTAAGGGGGTACAAATACTATAAAGGAGGTACAAATACTAAGGGGGCACAAATACTATAAAGGAGGTACAAATACTATTGGGGGATATAAATACTAAGGGGGATACAAATACTAAGGGGAATACAAATACTAAGGGGGGATACAAATAATAGAGGGGCGGTACAAATACTATAGGGGGGATACAAATACTATAGGGGGATACAAATACTATAGGGGGATACAAATACTACGGGAGATACAAATGCTATAGGGGGATACAAATACTATAGGGGGATACAAATACTAAGGGGAGGGGGATACAAATACTACGGGGGATACAAATGCTATAGGGGGGTTAAAAATACTAAGGGGGTTACAAATACTATAGGGGAGGTACAAATACTAAGGGGGATACAAATACTATAGGGAGGATACAAATACTAAGGGGGGATACAAATACTATACGGGGGTACAAATACTAAGGGGGATACAAATACTATAGGGAGGATACAAATACTAAGGGGGGATACAAATACTATAAGGGGATACAAATACAATAGGGTGGATAAAAATACTAAGGGAGATACAAATACTATAGGGGGATACCAATACCATAGGGGGGATACAAATACTATAGGGGGATACAAATGCCATAGGGGATACAAATACTATAGGGGGGATACAAATACTAAGGGGGATACAAATACTAAGGGAGGATACAAATACTATAGGGAGATTCAAATGCTACAGGGGGATACAAATACTATAGGGGGATACAAAAACTATAGGGGCATACAAATATTATAGCGGGGGATACAAATATTATAGGGGGATAAAAATACTAAGGGCGATACAAATACAAAGGGTGATATAAATACTATAGGGGGATACAAATACTATAGGGGGGATACAAATACAAAGGGGGATATAGATACTATAGGGGGATACAAATACTACAGGGGGATACAAATACTAAGGGGGGATACAAATGCTATATGGGGTACAGATACTTTAGGGAGATACAAATACTAAGGGGGGATACAAATACTATAGGGGGATACAGATACAACGGGGGATACAAATACTAAGGGGGGTGCAAATACAAAGGGGGATATAAATACTATAGGGGTAACAAATACTATAGGGGGTACAGATACTATAGGGGATACAAATACAAAGGGGGATATAAATACTATAGGGGGTTACAAATACTATAGGGGGTACAAATACTATAGGGAGGATACAAATACTATAGGGGGATACAAATACTATAGGGGGATACAAATACTATAGGGGGATACAAATATTATAGGGGGGATACAAATACTATAGGGAGATACAAATGCTACAGGGGGATACAAATACTATAGGGGGGATACAAATACTATAGGGGGATACAAATATTATAGGGGGGATACAAATACTATAGAGGGATACAAATACTAAGGGGGAGGGGTTACATGTATTTATATGATGGGCAACAAAGTATCCCCGGATACGTTTATGCTTTAACGATTGGGGATACAAATATGATATGACACAGAACTAAACTGGCATTGTTACATTCTATATAAAATACACGCGATGTTCTGAAAACATAAATGGTTTAACAGCGTAGCCATATTTAATATACACGCGCGTACGTGTCACTGTCTTACACATACACACAAGTGTTATATATACCCTAACAGCCGTTTATAAATAATGTATACATTTCACATGAGTCAGGGTACAACCATACCGTTGTAAGGATAAATCGTGCTACCTCGTGTGTACATAATGTACACGCTAAATGGTCCAGAACGTAGAACACCATGCTCGTCTGTGTAGTTAACGAAATTGACATCATCCGCTCAGAATTCACCTACATACCCTTATTGTTATTTGAAACAAACACTTTCTGGAAATAAAATATTTGATTTTTAAGATGCTAGATAAACCATGAACATGATTATAATACTCACCATGTGTGCCCGCGAACGAAAAGAGCCTCTACTTCTTACTTCTTCTACTACAGATATGTGTTGGTCCTATCTATTTTGTTTGTCGTTTCTATTTTTAGATGTGTTTTGACTGGTAGCTAGATTTTTTGTTTCGTTCTGCTGTGCCAGCGGTTTTAAGCCTTATGTCTTCCGTCATTCTGTATCGATCTGTTCAAATGTTGTCAGTTTCCTTAGTTACGTGTATGCTTCAGACTGCTTCTATTGAATTTTACACCAACAAAGCACTTGATATATCTGGTCGCTGATTTCATTACAGCTCGTCAATTTCAGTTTCCATTTCAAACGCCATGTTATTTGCAGCTGACGATGACTTGTCTGGGTGTTTATACTACGATAATCGAGAAATATTGTTGTCTGAGAAAAAAACATGATTTTTTCCCCAGTTTATACAAACATACACTCTTACATCAGTCCTAGCTGCTCTTAAATGTCTGTAAGATATGAAATATTAATGCAAATATTTGTACTGCTTGTAGGCATAGTCTGTATAAGGTCTCTGGTGTTATTGATGGGCAGATATATTAGGAGTGAAGTACATAAGTGAACTGTTAAGAGTCAGTACAAAGACGAACGAAGAAATGATAGTCAGCATTTTCACAAAGACGGCACCATAAACGAGTTTGGTCAGTAAGGGTTTTAATGATTATTACGTTTGTAAGTATCGTAGTTGACATAAAGTTAAAAATGACCGATAGATAAGTATGGGACATGATTTATTTATTTTCTATATACATGAGAGTCCCTCTAAGAACATATATATTTCCTTATCAAGCCATAAATATGTAGGTTGGACACATGTAGATATATCAGATACACACGGAATATTAAAGTGTTTTGTTTACGAAGTGTCACAGTGGCCAGCATTAATGTACGGACACGCGTTATACATGTAAATATTGAATTGACCTCTCATTTTCTCTCGACAATAAATCGTCTTAACTATCATACCGTCAGCAGGAAATTTTCTTTTTTTCTGTCATTTTTTTTGGAAAAGTAAAAAAAAAAAAAAGGGGGGGGGGGGGGGGGGGGGTGGGGGGGGGGGGGAGTAAATCATGTGTTGTGTTTGTCCCAAGGGCGACCTAGCCGATATGGATCCGGAACGGTCACGTATTTTTATTTATTTGATAGGTTCGAAGATGTAAATTTCGATATGTTGGTAGCATTTCGGAAGTCCGTCAAAATTACTTTATAGATAGTCCCTATTGTTAACCTAATCCTAGCCTCTAGGTCAGCGTTATCACGCAGGCCTGCTCTTTTTAGACAAAAGAACAGAGGAATTTTTATCGCGCGAGTTTCTCACAGGGACCACCATTTTCAGTCCCATCCGACGGACTGTGGGTTAATAGTTTTTTGTTGGTAAATTGCTGGTAGTGATCTGTATTTGGTGTCTACACAGTCTGCCACTCTGTATCAATGCCTATACTTTCTGTAAATCCACACTGTTCCTTTCTTCATGCAGCTGTTCATTTTCCGGCGTCAAAATTATTACATTTTGTGATTATGAGGATCGTTGTCGAGGAGGTCGGAAGTGTTTGTATGAGATGATCGAGTGGTTAAAGCCCCAATATACGTAACATTTACCAAAAATTTAGTGTATAATCACACATAATTATTGAGATATTCTCTAAGATGTAGTTAAAATTAAGTTATTCAAACAATATTTACCATGACTTTGTGCATAAAGTATTGATATATGAGCAGTTGAAACTCGCTATTTGTAAACACACCTCCATTTTAAACACGCCGCCACCGAAATTACGATTGTTGCCGAACCACGTCGGAAAGTTCATGACCTGATCTCGCGAGAGTTGAGGTTTCTACTTCTAGAGGAAGCACATGCAGATATGTCTTTGGTAAGTTTTTGTTTACAAACATTGTTTGCGAAGTCTTGTCGTAGACTTGAGGTATTCCTGTGATAAACATTCAGTTTTTGGGAAATAATTAGAAGGAATAATTAGTTTAGAAACGATACGACGCACAATTATAAGAATTCAGAACTGGCCTGATGTGTGATTGGAAAAAAAGGAAGCGACTGGTGGACGTCTGTACTGTGTCTTACACACGCGGAATATGCACATGCGCAATGTCATCGCTACGAGCGGTAATGTATGAATTATTGTGGGTCCCACATTGTTTTTTTTTTCGATTTTTTCAATTTTTATTTAAATTGAAAACAGTCAGTTTTATTTTCTTTAATTAAAGGAAAGTATTTGTTTTGTTACATATATTACGGGGAAAATAAGATAAAGGTTGTTTTTTATAGTGATTTTTTACGTATATTGGGGCTTTAATGAAATAGAATTGTCGGGCGTTATAGGGTAGGAATGGTAAGAAAGGAAGACTACAGGGAGAGGTAGGGAAGAGGGGCCAGTAGATATTTGGCAGAGGATAGTCAGAGGGTAGGAGGTTTTCTTATATTGGTGTGTGTGATTAGGGTGGGGGTGGGATGGGGGCTTACGCTCCTACTCTAGTGTGTGGTCTTACGCTCCTACTGTAGGGGGTGGTCATATGCTCCTGCTGTAGGGGTGATGTACAATCTTACTGTAGCGGGTGGTCTTACTTTCCTACTGTAGGGGGTGGTCTTTCTCTCCTACTGTAGGGGTGATGTACGCTCCTACTGTAAGGGGTTGTCTTACTTTCCAGTTGTAAGGGGTGGTCTTAAGCTCTTGCTGTAGGGAGTGGTCTTACTTTCCTACTATAGGGGGTGGGCTAACGCTCCTACTATAGGGGGTGGTCTTACGCTCCTACTATAGGGGGTGGTCTTACGCTCCTACTATAGGGGGTGGTCTTACGCTCCTACTATAGGGGGTGGTCTTACTTTCCTACTGTAGGGGGTGGTCTAACGCTCCTACTGTAGGGGGTGGTCATACGCTCCTGCTGTAGGGAGTGGTCTTACGCTCCTACTGTAGGGGGTGGTCTTACTTTCCTACTGTAGAGGGTGGTCTTACGCTCCTACTATAGGGGGTGGTCATACGCTCCTACTATAGGGAGTGGTCTTACGCTCCTACTGTAGGGGTAGTCTTACTTTCCTACTATAGGAGGTGGTCTTAAGCTCTTGCTGTAGGGAGTGGTCTTACGCTCCCACTGTAGAGGGTGGTCATACGCTCCTGCTGTAGGGGGTAGTCTTACTTTCCTACTATAGGGGGTGGTCTAACGCTCCTACTATAGGAGGTGGTCTTACGCTCCTGCTGTAGGGGGTAGTCTTACTTTCCTACTGTAGGGGGTGGTCTTACTTTCCTACTTTAGGGGGTAGTCTTACTTTCCTACTGTAGGAGGTGGTCTAACGTTCCTACTGTAGGGGGTGGTCTAACGCTCCTACTATAGGGGGTGGTCTTACGCTCTTGCTGTAGGGAGTGGTCTTACTTTCCTACTATAGGGGGTGGTCTAACGCTCCTACTATAGAGGGTGGTCTTACGCTCCTGCTGTAGGGGGTAGTCTTACTTTCCTACTGTAGGGGGTGGTCTTACTTTCCTACTGTAGGGGGTAGTCTTACTTTCCTACTGTAGGGGTGGTCTTTCTCTCCTACTGTAGGGGTTGGTCTTACGCTCCTACTGTAGAGGGTGGTCTAACGCACCGACTGTAGAGGGTGGTCTTACACTCCTACTGTAGGGGGTGGTCTTACGCTCCTGCTGTGGGGGGTAGTCTTACGTTCCTACTGTAAAGGGAGGTCTAACGCACCGACTGTAGAGGGTGGTCTTACGCTCCTACTGTAGAGGGTGGTCTTACCCTCCTACTGTAGGGGGTGGTCTTACGTTCCTACTGTAGGGGTGGTCTTAAGTTCCTACTCTAGGGGACGGTCTTACGCTTCTGCTGTAGTGGGTGGTCTTACGTTCCTTCTGTAGGGGTGATGTACGCTCCTACTGTAGAGGGTGGTCTAACGCTCCGACTGTAGAGGGTGGTCTTACGCTCCTGCTGTGGGGGGTAGTCTTACTTTCCTACTGTAGGGGTGGTCTTTCTCTCCTACTGTAGGGGTTGGTCTTACGTTCCTACTGTAAAGGGAGGTCTAACGCACCGACTGTAGAGGGTGGTCTTACACTCCTACTGTAGGGGGTGGTCTAACGCTCCGACTGTAGAGGGTGGTCTTACGCTCCTGCTGTGGGGATAGTCTTACGTTCCTACTGTAAAGGGAGGTCTAACGCACCGACTGTAGAGGGTGGTCTTACACTCCTACTGTAGAGGGTGGTCTTACGCTCCTACTGAGGGGGTGGTCTTACGTTCCTTCTGTAGGGGGTGGTCTTACTTTCCTACTGTAGGGGGTGGTCTTTCTCTCCTACTGTAGGGGTTGGTCTTACGCTCCTACTGTAGAGGGTGGTCTAACGCTCCGACTGTAGAGGGTGGCCTTACGCTCCTACTGCAATGGGTGGTCTTACGCTCCTACTGTAGGGGGTGGTCTAAGGCTCTTGCTGTAGGGAGTGGTCTTACTTTCCTACTGTAGGGGGTGGTCTAACGCTCTTACTGTAGGGGGTGGTGTTAAGCTCTTGCTGTAGGGGGTGGTCTAACGCTCCTACTATAGGGGTTGGTCTTACGCTCCTGCTGTAGGGGGTGGTCTAACGCTCCTACTATAGAGGGTGGTCTAACGCTCCTACTGTACGGGTTGGTCTTACGTTCCTACTGTAGAGGGTGGTCTAACGCACCGACTGTAGGGGGTGGTCTTACGTTCCTACTGTAGGGGGGTTGTCTTACGTTCCTACTGTAGGGGTGGTCTTAAGTTCCTTCTCTAGGGGACGGTCTTACGCTTCTGCTGTAGGGGGTGGTCTTACGTTCCTTCTGTAGGGGGTTGGTCTTACGTTCCTATTGTTTTACGTCTCTACTGTAGGGAATGGTCTGAAACTCCTGCTGTAAAGGGTGGCTCCTGTATATCCTATGTTATCCTTTTTAGGGGGTCCTGTTGTGTTTCTTTGACTGTTAGCGTGTGCTTTGTTGTATGTGTGTTTTATGTTTGGACCTACGTGGATGTACGGTTCCCGGCAAAAGGTGGCCACTTCTGCAACTTCAGTGGTTGTGTTGTATAAGCGCTAT